TCGGCCTCACTAGGTAATTCCGATGCGCTGGATTCATCTAGCTCACTTTTAGCATTGCTAGCCGTAATCTAGGCTTGCCGCACCTCCTTAATTGTCGCGAACTTCGTATTTAGATCTAGTGCAATAGCCTTCTGTTTTCTAGTTATACTGTTAGTAACTTAGGCTTCTAAAAGGCTTATTTTTTACTAGGCAGCAGCTAGTATATATAACTGCTTTTAGAAGCCTTTTTTAACCTTTCTAAAGAGCTAGCGTTATATAGTAATGTTTTGCTTTAGTTAGCTAAATAGTTAAAGTTAATCCTTAAGGTCTTTTACCTTCCTTAGCGTAGACTACTTTACACTAGATAGCTAACTATTTATACTATTAGTATCTTAGGCCTTATAGATATCTCTAGTAGCTAGATTAAGTAGTGTTAATAGTGTTAGTGTTATTATTACTTTTTAAACTAGTAGCCTATTTATAAGTAGCTTTACTATACTAATAGGCTATAACTTAGTGTATTTCTAGCTACTTTTAATATTACTTATAGTTAATTTAGCTAGGTAAGCCTTATAATAGTAAGAAATAAAGTTTTTTTTACTTATAATAGTAAAGTTAATTTACTAACTTAGATATCCTAGCTCCTTCTTATATACTACCTTAATAAGGCTAAAGACTAACTAGTTAAGTAGCTAGAAGATATAAAAGGTATATAAAGGTAAAAATAATAAATAGATATTATTAATATAGTATAGCTATATAAACTTTATTATTATATAGCTTTTATACCTATTTAAGATAAGTAGTCTAGCCTAATTAGGCTAAAAGAGCTTAGTCTAAGGGAGGAAGACCTTTTCTAACTATTTAATAGTAGTATTATTAGTAGTCTATTTATTCTTTATTACTATAAATTCTTATTTATTATATAAATTAAGATTAAGAGGGAACTACTACTACTAGACCTTCTTACCTTTATATATAACTAAGGGATAAAGAGTATTACCTTTAGTAGATATATACTTAATAATAGATACCTAGGCCCTTAATTTAGGCTGCTTTTTTCTTACTATATATATTATAGCCCTACCTAGCACTAGCCTATTATTACCTTTACCCTTAAGGATACTAGTCTTATTTATATTATATTTATTAGCTAGGTTAATAGCCTAGATATAAGGTATAATAAGATATTTAAACTAGTCCCTAATAACCTTAGTAAATACCTTATTAATACGCCTTAAATTAATAGATTAACTTCTTTAGACCTTAATAGATAGGTTCCTCCTAATAAAGCTATCTACCTATCTCTTGCCTATAGGTTAGGTATCCCCTATAGTATAGAGGATATAATAGGTAAAGTCCTTAAGTTATTAATAGGTTAGTGGCAGCCTAAGGTTAGCCTAGGTAGTTACCTAAGTAGCCAGGCTAGCCTCCTAGGTAGCTAATAGTTACTAGAGGTCTTTAAAGGTAACTAATTACTATTAGTAACTATTTATATAATACTAAAGTGTTAATTATAGTACACCCTATTACTTAAAGGTAACCTAATAAGATATACTACTTATAATGTTAGTAATTACCCCCTTAACCTTATCTTTAGTATATTAGACTATAGGGTATTAAAGAAGGTATTCTGAAGAAATGAAGTGATTTGATAAAAGATTAAAAATGTTGTAATAGTTTGAATTTGGAGGTTATCTAGAAAGTCGGTGGCTGGGAGGCATTTTTGGGGTGGGCCAAATGCAGGGGGGGGCCATAAGTGGGTGCTTTGACTTACTACTTCTGTTAACACCCTGGCCTAGGGTTAAAGCTCGTCCGGCCTCCCCTTGCGAAAGTCCGTAGGAGCAAACCCACAGTTTGCTATGCCTACCTAAGTAGCCTCTACCTTTAACAGCTTAAGCTAGTCAAAATCTCTTGCCTAACCCCCTATAAGTAGTTTTATACTACAGAAAGAGGTAATAAAGCCCTCACTAGACCTATCAATAGTAAGGAGGAACCTAGTAGTCTTTATTACCTCTTATATTACTATCTAGTAGGTTATACAGTTAGTATACTCCTAGCCTATAATAATAGGGATAGTAATAGCAAGTTGGGGTATATCTCCTTAGAGAAGCTACTTATAATGGTTAGGGAATAGACCTAGGATGTTTAAGTTCTAATAGGTTACCTTACTTAGTAGCTGTTTTTCCTAGTTATATATAGTATTATATATAACTATTGTTGGAAGGACTATAGATGGGGGTGATGCATCAACAAGAACGTTCTTGACGGGTTGTAAAGGCATGTATTCTCTAAGATCTAACTACCCTGCCCCACTTGCGGGCCACCCCTACATCCGGGCCATCCGAAAATGCCGCATTATCAACATCACCACCTTTTTCAAACTATCATAACAATTACCATATATCGCCAAACAACGCCATTTTTTCAGAATACCTTCTTCAACCCATTATGAAGCAATATACCGAAGATGAGCTCCAACGGGCCCTTCTGGATATAAAGGCTAGGCATAACATCCAGGCTACTGCTCGCGCATAGGGTATACCATACCAGTCACTTCAATATCAATACCATAGGCAGCAAAGCAAAAACGCTGCCTATAGCCATATGCAGCGACTATCGCAGTCACAGGAGGATAATCTGGCAGCCCATATATCCCTTCAAGATGCCCTTGGCAAAGCCCTCACCCATCAACAAGTAAAGGGACTAGCAGAGCGTATAATGGGCGATGGGCAGCAACCCATAGGGAGGAAGTGGATGGCTCGATTCCTGCGGCGAAATCCATCCATCAGAACCAAGCGATCCAGAGCAATCGATGGGCAGCCCATTCTTCCGAGGTTATCCAAGAATTCTTCCATCGTCTAGGTAATATCCCTACCATCTAGGGAATCCATCCATCCAACCAATAGAATATAGATAAAACTGGCATCATGGAGGGCAAGGGAGCTAATAGGCTAGTGCTAGGCTCTGCAGCATCGCGATATATCCAGAAAAAGCAGCCAGGATCTCAGCAATAGATATCTATTATCAAGTGTGTATCTGCTGCTAGGACCTCCTTACCCCCCTTAATTATATATAAGGGCAAGAGTCTTCAAGACCAGTGGTTCCCATCCAACCCATCCAATCTATCTAGATACTCTAGATAGCAGTTTACAGCTACTAATAATAGATAGATAACTAAGAAAACTGCCCTTGAATGGCTAGAGAAGGTCTTCATCCCAGGGACCCAGACAGAGGAGGCCAGACTGCTGGTTCTAGATAGGCATTATACCCATATATCGATTGACTTTATGTAGAAATGCTAGCAGCATAACATCTATCTGTTATATCTGCCGCTACACTCCTCTGTAGTCCTCCAGCCTCTAGATGTGGCTGTTTATAGCCCATTAAAGCAGGCCTATCGCAAGGAGGTTGGATATCTAGATGACTGGGTTACGGATTCAACTATAGCTGGCAAGAGGGCATTTCTAGAGTTTATTTAAAGGCCCGCGAGGCATCTATAACCAACCAGAATATCAAGGCTGGTTGGAGGGCATCAGGATTATGGCCGATATCTATGAGACGCCCTCTATCCAACCCCATGATTAATAAGGCCCATCCAGCCAGCCAGCCAGCCAGCCAGCCCATCCAGCCTAGCAGCCAACAGTGGGATGAAGCCGTATCTATCGTCCCATGGTCAACCCCCTATCGATCTGCCGATCTACGGCATCAACTACACCAGTTAACCCAGCTGGGCCAGGATGGGCTGGATACCCATACTATCCGTCACCTATCTAGAAAGGTGCAAAAGGGATATGATGAGCAGGCATCTAGACTAGCCCTTCTAGAAAGGCAAGTCGACGCGTTAAAGGCCCAACTAGAAGACCAACGATCACGCAAGAGGAAAAAGGTCCCCCTATCGCCTAACAGCACCTTCGCCACTATAGAGCATATCCAGCAGGCTAGAAATATGGAAGCCGGCAATATAGATAGTCCGGATGCATCCAGCCCATCCGAATTATCCAGCGAGGCCGAAAGTTGCATATGGGTGGGCGGCAAGCCCGAGGAAATAGGTGGTGATAGTAGTGGTGATAGTGGTGGTGATGGTGGCCCGGATGTGGGGGTGGCCCGCAAGTAGGGTAGGGTAGTTAGGTGTTCTAACCGGTAGGAAAACGGCTGGTTATATAGACCTTCTGGCAACTGACTCATGCGTGCGAATCCGGCTGAATTGCTATTCCAACAACTATTCTTATATTAGCAAGAGGGAAACTCTACCATAAGGTCTCCTCATTAGATAGGCCAGTAGACATTATGTATAATAAACCTTAAACGCTATAATAGGGAGAGCTGCAGATGCTACTGCTACAGAGAGTATAGAGACGCCTATTGTGGTGAGGCGTATGCAGGTGGTTGCGTAGAAAGAACTGGTTTAACGGGAGAGGGGATAGGGAACAAGAACGTTAGTGAGGTGCGGTCGGATGAGGTTCGGTCGGCTCTTGAATTCAATCCTAGGTTTCTTTAGGCAGGCCTATTAGTCTCAGGTGACCCCTAGGCGCTTGTGATCTGTCATCTCCCGTAGGGCGTATACGTGTTGGTGCAATTCCGCCTAATCCTACAAAACCCAGGCTACTAGACTTCAGTCCGGTTGGGCTACCTTGTCAGCTCCACCAGACAACCCAGATGGTTTTGTTCCCTTGCCGCCCATACAACCTCGCTAGCCCTGTCTACCTAAGCTTATGCCACTAGACAGCACGCAGGGCTGACTTTCTTCAACACTTCCCGCCAGTAAATACCTTAGTAAGGCCTTCTACTACTGCGTTTGCTGTGTTAGGTAAGAGCGGGCAATGGGGGGACGCTGTTAGTAGAACTATACCTAGTCATATCTCGCGTTGTTGCCTACGAACGCCAGGAGCGGGATCCTAGCATTATGTTTATTACGCTGTGAAAACTGCTCCGCCGGGCTACCCGCCGGGCCAGCTGTCCCAGGGCGTTAAGGTGTGGGCACATATCGCTCCTTGGAACGGTAGCGACTCAAGCGCTCCCTAGACAGCAGCAGGGTCAGGAGAGAGGTCCAGTTCTAGCTTGTTTAGGCATAGTAGTATCAAGGCGTTAGGGGTATGCACCAGGGTGGCGTATGTGGTATAGCGGATGCTCTTGATACTGCTGCTGGGACGAGTGCCGGTAGGGACGACGTACTTCTCATCCTGACTCTGTTTACCTCCCCGCGTTCTCCTCTGCTTCGCCAGTAGGGGCCTGCTGACCCGTCGTTAGAGCGGAATAGACGTCTGCCCACGTCTGCCCACATACAGCCCGAGGCCGGTTGGCAGTTTCCTTAGACATCCCTTGCCGCCTAGACCTTGTTGTTGTTAATCATGCTAAGAGCGGTGCAGAGAGGATATGAAGATTCCTGTGAGAAACCTACTTTTGCTTGACTATGCCGCTACGGCGTATGCGGCGGCTGCGCCAGGCTCGGGAGACGCACGTGTCGCTGCCATCTGTGAAGGCCTTGGCGTCCTGAGCTTTGAGGATGGCCGGCTCCCAGATGGGGTGTCCCCTGGTGACGTGCGAATGTGCGCCGGGCACCTGAATGGCAAAGTGCGTGGTTCCGACCCCCAGCAGGGTGCATCGCTAGCTCCCATAGAGGTCGTAGAGGGTGTTGTGCTTTCTGCTGACGAGACCACCGCCCCCCCCCCCCCCGTCGGGCCTCGCGCTTGCCGAGAGAGCCTGCTACTACAAGACGCCCTATGGTTGTTCTGGTGATCACTGCTGGAAGCGTGTGGTGATAGTGGTGGCGGTAAATGGTGTTGGACTGCTGGGAATGGTGAAGTTGGTTCTTGGAACAAGTATTCGACCTATAATGGCTGCGGAACTAAACCGATTGCCTAAGACTGCAGCGGTTCAGTGTGACAGGAGTATTGATAGATAAATATATAAATATAACTATGCTACTAGTGCTGCCCTAGGCAACATCCATAGAACCAAGAAGTGCGTAGCGCCGAGGTGCAGAGAGCAAAATGTCTTGTATACACGTGCTGTCGGTTGAATGTGATGAAATTCCTATATAGTTAAATCTGATCAGTATAGTGCAATGCTAATTGGGTTCTCTTGGTAAAGAAAGGTAGAAAAGAAAAATGAATTGTTTGCGTACATTTGTCTTTGTGTCCATTTGCCCCAACAAAATGTACTCGATAACGGCACCAACTTTGTGACTATCCGCCTCGAAATCGCCAACAATTTGCAAACTTATGCCTTGAGAAAGGTAATATTGTCTACGGCTTGCGGTTAATAATAGATTTCACTTCGAAATCCTGGCTGACGAGAATGGCCGGCTTCCCCCCAGCTAAATCGTTGTATCCTACTTCCTCGATACTCGAATTAGATCTCCCCTCACTTAGGCGGGTGAACGGACGCTCCTCATCCTGTTCACTTCCGGGGCAGGCCCCCTTGACTGTGATTTGGCTGACGACCTTGGAGCCCAAGTAAGTGCTGCCATAATTCGTTGTACGACTGGAAACCGCGGGGCCAAGAGAGGCGTTTCCGTGGTTAGGACAACTACCCTTGACCGTAACGTTGGTGTCACCGATGGAGCCCAGGTGCCTGTTGCCATAGCGGCCGCCAAACCGAGCCCCATTGCTTAGTGCGTAAGATCCAGAGCTCTGGTCTCCCCTGGCATTAGTCGACTTTAGCGTGCCGTCGATCAGCAGGGATAGTAGGGGCTTCAGGGATGGTAGACAAGCTGGGGATCGCCAATGTCAGTAAAAGAGAAGACTAGTAACTTGAGGTGGTTCTGAAGACCCGGAATATAGGTGATAACATACCACAAACGATTGCAATGTTAGCTTCGACGTTAGTCCAAATGATTGTGCTGCAGAAGTTCCACGTGATATCCGGGGACTTGAGGTCGACAGAGAGGATCGTGTGCAATCGCACCATCGAGATTATGGTAACGCTGCGAATTAACGTATCATTAGTATCTAGGTCCCTTAATGTGCTAAAATACTCGAAATGACAAGACTGTTTTACTTACAAAGTGCCCAGCAAGAAGACGCCAAGCAGTGCAAGTTTCTGGGGTTTGGACATCTGTAGTGATAGTACGTAGGGGATAGGCAGCATCACAACAAAGGCGTCCGTGATGATGTTAGGGATCGAATTTGCGTTGAAGAACATGTTAACATTGACACCACAATAGAACTCTGTGGGCGACATCGGGTTCACCGGGTCGTAGCGGTCCCAGAACGCATGCGTGGGAATACATTGAAAGATGGAGACGAGGAGCTGATGGATCGGTCAATGTCGTGGGCCGCAAAAGCGAGGACGGAGGTGGCGGACACTTACAACGGCAATACACCAAGCCATCACCACACCGAACAAGATCCAGATCAGGATTCTAATGCTCCTCCTCGCACCGAAAATGCGCCAGTAGAACATGAGCGTTGAGCATTTGATGGTCGTTAAGGTGATGGTATAGGCTATCTCCGAGATGAAGAGGCCAGTAGCCCATGCTTTGGTCGCTATGGGAGGTCCGACCCAGATATGTTTACCGGTACCATTACGTATCACTTGATTCCCGACGTTAGCAAAATACTGGCAACGGATGGGATGAGTTGGGTCAGCCCTTTGGGAGCCCACTACTTACTCAGCCCAATAGTGGTGAAGACATGGACGCCCGCGGCCACCTGTCAAGACTTTTTGTCAGTATGAAAGTGAGAAAATAGAGCAAAAGGAATAACAACACGTACCAAGGAAACGATGATGATCCAATCCTCCGGCCATATTTGGATTTTTCTAAGACGACGCACGAGGAAACGGAGCGAGACTGCAAGGAAGGACAACGTCCATGTAGTAAGGAGTATGCTGGTGACCTCTTGGACCCGCGACTCGCCAAGGTCGAGGCCTTCCGGAGGAGGAGGCAGAGCCATCTGTATTATGCTGTCCAAGAAAGAGATAGTCGGGTAAGGGAAAATTAAGAAGCTGCTTTCATATAAGCTTGAGTAAAACTAGCGAAGGATGCGCCCTATGTGCGGGGCCACGTTGAACATATGTTATCCATGCACTGCATGATGATGTCGGCGTGATGCTAAGGAGCCCCTTTCTGTGAGCAGAAATGCAGGAGATGCCATCTGTTGATATTATCCAAGATTGTACGGAGTAAAAAGATAACAGCCGTGGTATGGCGCGTTACAGCATGAGTGACGAATCAGTGGGCGTAGTATCAATGTGTCTTCAGCGTGCAGACATGGCGCTTCGCGCACATTGCCTGCTAAAACGCCGCCTTGCTCAAGGCAAGTAGTGGATCATAACCCCGGGTGTTATCCATGGTTTATGACTCGCAGCATCACGTCTTCGCTCAGCCGGTGCAGACTGTTGATTGACATATCTCCAAGTGGATCGATCACTGTGACGTGGTTACACGACGTATCTACAGGAGTAAGTTAGCCCCTATGGCCAGTTGCCTGACTACTACGTACGAGTACAGAGTACCATCTAAAACCGACAAGAAGCAATACAAAGAGGTACTGAAATAGAAAGCTGCCAAGGAATAACCAAGCCAAAATGACAAGCAACAGGGTGTTTGTAGTCATGTCTCGACAAGGGTGTGTATTATCGGACGAAACCCCTTTTTGAAAGAGTGCTACGCACTAAGTACATATGTCGTACTATGGTACCAGGCCGAAATTAAATACCCCTGCCAGGTAACTCACTAATGTTCACCTCCCTACTATTTTGGGTATGGCTAACATTACGGCACTATTTTCCTAGCCTGCCAGCCGGCCGGCCGGCTGGCTATCACTTTTCCCTCTATCTATCCCATTGCCTATTGCCTATCACTACTATAGATAACTACCGCCGGCTATCTAATATCTATATAAAGCACCTATCTGAGTTGACTGTGTATAGATATGCACCCTCTTTTTTGACGGCAGACTTAATAGGCAAGAGATTGCCAGCCGGACCGGATTTTCTATCACCCAAGTCAAGAATGCCCTTTAGGCTCCTAGTGCCTTGGCCTGGCCCCGATCCGGCCGGCCAGGCGCCCTTTCCCACGAGCAAGAGCAACAGCTAGTTAAGTATATATCCGCTTCTCATTAAGGCCGGCTCGCCAGCTTCCTCTAGCTCTCTCTTACCCTCTTTAATGGGGCCTTTGGCGAGTATACGATCTAAAGCACTCTCTGCTGGCTAGGTTATCGCTAGTACGTTGCCTAGCAGAAACCCATTATCTCAGAAGAAACCCGCCAGGCCTGGCTTGCCTGGGCTTAAGCCTATATTTACTGGTCTATAGATAACTAGATAGGCATCTTATAGACAGATAAGACGTAGGTTAATGGCAGCACCTATTAGAAGGTCTATATAACAAGGCAGGCAGATAAAGAGCTAGATCTAATATGCTTTATCTAGCACTTAAGGCGAGGGAAAAGTAAGATGTTTTAGGGCTCTTTTTAGGGTGTCTAGAAGGGCCCTAGATTAGTATAAGATATAAAGAGATAGGGGACTATTAACTAGTATTCCTACTAAGAACATATAGTCCTATTAATTACTAGATTTATTAACTAGTATTAGTAGTCCTAAGGCTAAAGGCTTACCTTTATATAGGATAAAGCCTAGTTATATATAGCCTAAATAATAATAAAGAACTTTACTAGGTAAGAGATAAAGGTTATTAATTTTCCCTTATACTTACTAGATCTTAACCCTATTAAGCCTTATTAGAACTAGATAAAAGACTATATCTAGATCTATTACAGGTATATCTAAGGGTAAATACCTTACTAGGAGCTATATAGGTGGGTTAGAGAGGCCTAGGATGCCCTTCCGGATGAATATTACGCCTAGCAGCTCTCTAGTATGCATAATAGATGCCAGGCAGTGATTGATGTAAATAGAGGGCATACGAGATAGTGAATTTTAGCTAGGTAGAAGGGGGTAGAAAATGTAGTGGTTTCTATGAATCATGTGTGTGTGGGTATGTGACATCACAGGGGTATTTTACTTACCCCTGTCGCCCTGTAGTTAACGCTGCAGCCAGAATGGAGCTTTGGGCCCGTATATCTCTGCATGAATGGTTTGATTGGTTAGGGTCTTCCCCATGTCCCAGATGTCAGGGATGTCGGAGATACTGACTCAAGTCATGTGCAAGGAGTAAAACCTAATTATTATTTGTACACCGGCAAGCAAAGTCTTCAATTTTTTCAGGACCCGTTGAAAGGAAGGGAATGAGGACCGAATCAGCAATAATTTTACAGCTCTCGAGAGCTTCATAGTCATGTGTCTCTTTGCTATTGCACGTTTCCATTCCTCATTGGACATAGGGAGTTTTACCGTTAAAGACACGTAAATATGGTATAGGTACTTCGTTCTGTTGTAGTTACGGAGTAGTTCCTACCGGTATTCCACTTGTTGTTGAACACAAACAAGGACGGAGCAGCATTCTGCTTCTCTGACAAAACAAGCATCGTGGGCGAAAACAGATACATTCCTCGCAGTGATGGCAAACAGACCTTTTCTTTTTTCTCCTGTTTTTTTCCTTCTGTTTTTTTTTTCCTTAAAGGGGGGTCTGTCCACAGACGACCTGCGCCAAATAATTTCCTTTGTTGTGTCTTCTCCCCACTGTATGGGTTTTACCTTGGAGTGAAAGACATCAGCCATATACCTGTGTTGTCCGATATCAGATCTGGATGCTTTGGCAGATGATTTATCCGTACGAATAAGTGGTGTATTATTAGGCAGGTCAAGGGCGGACCGAAGAAAGTTAATACAAACAGATTCCAATATATCCATAATAGTGTTGTCAAATACCTGTTACTCGGTGGAGAATACAGTTGTTGTTGTTTTTCTTCTTAAATACCGCACTTTCGGGATTAGACCGAGAGAGCTACCGGTAGACCTGCATGAACCCCGATACTGCCTTATCGTCACCGGCAATATAGCCCGGGTCCGCAGAGATGGGTCCTTTTGCACTCTTCCCGTTGCACAGACTTGACTACGCTCTGTTGGAGGGTAGCAATACGGCACTGCCGACAAGCAACCCCACGTTCCAATGCATAGATATATCATACTTTAGCTCACCCACGTTTCCCAGGTTCTCGGTCTGATACAATCATGCATACTTAGTCCCTACGCTGACACGCCCCACTTTTGAAACTCGTCCTTTCTCACGTCGTCAAGGCTCTCCTCCGCCATGCATTTCTCAACTTCAACACTCTTTGCTTTCGTCGTAGCAGCCGCCGCCAGTCCGATGTCTCCGCAACTCCCCACGATCTTGTTCACGCCCGGCGCTTGGCACCGACCATGGGCCTTCGACATGGTGCGTAGTGACCTGTCGAGCCGCGGCTACCCAACAGCTGCCGTGACTCTGGCCAGTGTCGGGAGTACGGATCCCAACTTGGGCCTCGACGCGGACGCTGCCGCAGTCCGCGTCCAAGTGCAGACGCTCGTCGACGAGGGACGCGATGTCGTCCTAGTCGCCCACTCCTATGGCGGTATCCCTGTCGCGAACGCTGTTAAGGGCCTCAACTACAAGGATCTCGCCGTCCAGAACAAGCCCGGCGGCATCATCATGGTTGTTTACATGACCTCCTTTGCCGTTCCAGCTGGCGCGGGTCTGTACAACGGTGGAGTCATGCCTACATGGTGGAACGTCACGGTAAGAACACATCGAGATTTCATAAAGATGCATTCGCGGTCAGTAATTCAAGAAAAGGGCTGACTTTTATCCCTTGTGCTACAGAACGGCTTTATCTTTCCCGAAGACCCGGTGTCTGTTTTCTATGGCGACGTTCAGCCTTCGCTTGCCGCCGAGGCGGTGGCCGCTCTTCTTCCTATGCCTTTCAAGACGATGACGGATAAGTCCGGCTACGAGCCTTGGAACAACGGGTTCGAAATGGGTTACATCTTTGCGGAAAACGACCAGGCCATCCCGATCGAATTACAAAAGAGCATGGAAGCCGCGTTCCCCGCCTCCTCTTTCACGGCGACTCTGAACTCCAGCCACTCGCCATTCCTCAGCATGCCCAAGGCCCTTGGCGACGTTCTGCAGCAGGCAGCGGAGGATGCCGTTATCAAGAAGGCGTCTGCCTAAGCTCCGCCGTCCTCGTGAGATGCAAGGAACTAAGACCAGTCTGTAATTATGGTGTAAGGAACACTGTTCTCAAGAACTAGTAATCTTGGATGAATTATGCATCTCCGAGCTTCCTTCACATTCATGTATCATACTTTTTATTTATTTATATTAGTATAAAGGAACACGAAGAGACTCCTGTAGCACCACACTCCGTTATTCACCCGTGACTAGGGCTCTCTTGCCAGTGCGCTTTACCGTCTAAGACGACTCCTCTTTCGCCTTGCAGGGCCCGAATATAGGCGTTTGATAACATGGGTGCGCAGACTGAGATCTAAGACCAAGGTCTAAGATTAATAGAAGTCAGCGTGATATTATGAATTACCTTGTTTCACAGTAGATGTACGGACCGGGGAATTCCACCTTGTTATTTTCGAGACTTTGGGTTTGGCGATTACCGCACCTAACTTCCTACTCTCGCAGTGTTCATCTAAATGCTGCCTTTATGGAGAGTTCAGAGAGACCCATGTGCCTAGGTAGCAAGAGGAAAAGAAGGGGAATCTCAACTAAGGCTTTTTGACTGGGTTTGAGAGTCTTGGTTGCCCCTGTAGGGAAATTAAAGAGCACTGAGATACGGAACGAACTCTGGCTTGTATCTTCTCACTTCAAGCAAAAGCTCAAATCAAATCACTTACCATCCGTTTCTCAACTGTTTTAGTCTATTAATACAGCTCTCGTCTCACAGAGAAGGACAGTACATCTTCATTCAAGCATAAGGCGTGAGAAATCCTTCTTAGACAAGACTGCCCTTCTTACATAAGTGTCTAGCTCTTGGCTACTAACCAAGAGAACTGCCTACTAGTTTTATAGCGGTAAACTATACTTGTTGCAACAAGTTGAGTAGCTATATATACACATTTATATAGAGATAGTAGAAGTATAAAGTACTAATACTAGATAAGGGCTTTTTGTAAGACAAAAGGTTGAGAATAGCATAATTCATCTTCTGATAGCTACAGCTTAGTGCCTTAACATTATTATGTCTTAGCAATAGTTTTAGTTAAGGCTATAAGGTTTATAACTTAGAACGAGGTTGGTACAGCCCTCATGGCAGCTTTTCTAGACTAAACAGGAATCGCTAGGTTGTAATAGACTTGTGATATCCCACCAGCGAGACGTAAAGTGACGCAGTGCGAAGGTAAAGCGTAACGGCAGAGAAATAAGCAAGGCACGTAATAACAAGGAGCTAACAGATAGCAAAAGGACAGATACGTGCCAGAAGATAGATTTATTCATAGTTAACCTTCTCCCCTAGGGCAAGGGTCTAGTGCAGTAGTTTATATACCTAGTGGTTACGTAAAGGCTTACATGTCTATAGGTATAAGCACCTCCTGCGCCATGATATCTCATCTATCCGTTGGTTCTGTCCTGTGACAGAGGTAGCAAGCCAATATATAGGATAAAGATATAACTGCACTATTGAGAGTATTAATATCGTAGCTCTACCTAAGCTATACGGTATTTGCAGACGTTAAACGGGTATAGTCCGAATCATTGAAGTAGGACCAAATTTCTAGAAAGGTACACTTCCCTTGACCACGTGCCATGATGTCTATGCCATTAAGACATTCCCACTTGCCATAAAGAGAAACAGGTAGGCCCTGATTTTGGCACCAAAAGGAACCGTCAGGCTAGCTAGCCAAATGTGCTCGCGACTATTTCTTATTCTATTCGCGATTCATAAACGCCTGGTAATTAAGACGTAATGATGGGGGTCTCCCCACTGATTGCTCGCAGATCCTAAAATCGTTTAAAAATAGGGTCAAGTTAAAAAGAAGGGTCACTCTAGAGTCCTAAAGTCTCCGCTTCTAGATTCTGCCGATGCAGACCGCTATTTTACCGCCACTCAGCCAAAACTTCAATATGATTGAGAAAGCAACTGATCATCAATCTTTGAATCTTCCCCTGCAACATGATCACTTTACCAAGTTCATATTCCGATATTGATAGATACGCGGATGATCTATTGTGGTTCATCGACACACCCTTGTTCCGCCAAGTCACCGGCGATATCCACGTCAACGATGCGTTGATCTACGACGCATGGGACGCCTTGCCCCCGGAGTGGACGAACTGGTGGTCCACAATCCCAGACCATCGTCTGGCGCAGCAAGACTTGATTGACAGTATCGAGGAGCAGTTTCTGGCTCGGCCTCTGTCCAAGAACGACGATGCTGTGAACGATGGACAAAAGAGGCATTTGCAAGACCGGCCGGAGTCGCTGACGAAATGGCTAACGACTCTCCAATCACTGTCTCTCCCTCGTGCTCGGCATCCCGGTCCAAGCATTGACCTTCCAGAGGTACTGACAGGCCGCATGAAAACCAAAAAGATTGCCGAGGTCTCCACCGCCGCCGCTTACATCCAGCGCGTCTGCCAGGCCAACGGCATCACCCACGTCGTCGACATGGGTTCTGGACAAGGCTATCTTTCTGTTTCTCTTGCTTTCCTCTTCCCCGACCTACGGATCCTTGCCATCGACGGCAGCGCGGCCCAGATCGAGGCCTCGGAGGCCGCCGCCGCTAGTCTTGAGATTCCTGAGCACAGAATCCAGCACGTGCGGCGCTATATCGACGGTACAGCACCGTTGGCAGCTGAGATCACCGCCTGGGCCGGAGGGGAGAAGTGTATGCTCGTCGGCCTACACGCATGCGGCAACCTCTCCGAGCACATGCTGAAATACTTCGCAACGGTCCCGCTCATCACGCATCTTGGTGCCGTCGGGTGTTGCTATAACCACATTGTTCCGCGTTCTGCCGCTTGCCCGGATGGGTTCCCCGTCAGTGAAAAGATGAGAAACAGGGACGTGAGGCTGAGTGCAACGGCGCTGATGACGGGCTGTCAGGCGCCGAACAACTGGGAGAGGCCGGACCTGAGTAAAGGAGAGTCCGAGTACTCGAAACGCCGCTTCTATCGAGCGCTTCTGGAGAAGATTTTGTTTGATAAAGGCATCGAGCTTGACAAGGAAAGCAGGCCGGTCTGGGGCGTACGAAAGGGGGACATGGCCAGCTTTGCCAAGTTTACGCGCAGAGCTATAGCATACCTCGGCATTGACGGCAGTATGATTACCGACGACGAACTCGCGTCCTACGAGTTCCGATACCGGGACCATAACGCTAAGATAGCGATCCTGTGGACGCTAAGCGTCCTGTGCTGTAAGGTTGTCGAAAGCGTGATTGCTTTTGATCGTTACTGCTTCCTTACTGAGAACGGAGGGGAAGATGTAGAGGTCTTGCCCATCTTTGACTACAAGATATCGCCGAGGAATCTGATGCTTGTAGCCAGCAAGGGTTCCGGGTAAGGTGGGTGGCAGTTGGTACTCAAGCCTCGTCGAGGTGGCGATAGAAGCCTTTTGACAGACGCATCCCCAGGTATTCATGTATTGGAACATCATGGCAGTTTCCGCATGACGATTGATGCTCACGAATCCTCGCCGCTGTGACAATAGACAGACGATTTTTCATGTCATTAATGGCCCAGTATTGTTCATTTTACCAAAGAGTTTCCATGCCCAGAAACTATCTTTGGTTGTTTTGAGTGTTGCCGTTAGAGGCACATCACGTATTAATAACAGTCGTCACACCCGTTCGCCTATGCTAGGAGAGACACTGACTGTGGCCATTTGGGAAGTAACTCTATTAAGACTAACCACGGCTTGGTATCTTATAGCAACACACAGGTCCACTTGAGTAATGCAATGAAGAACACTCCTCAGAGGCTGCGCCTCGGATTCAAGATTCTCTACAGTATGTATCTTGTTACATGATTATACGAAGCTGAATTCTCCTACACTATCCTTGCATTTCTTCTCTTTTCCAGATTGGACCAAAACCCCTTCACATATTTTTCATCGTCGAAACCCCAGCTATCAACACCTCTAGTCCCCCATCGGTTCCACCAGCGATCTCCGTACGATCGGCCCTTTACGGCTGTCCAGTGATTGTTTGATGTTCTACGAACTTTGGGTCGACCATGAAGACCTGTAAGCTGGAGCTTTAGCAGACATTCCCACTTTGGACCAACAAGAGTCCCGATACTTACATCTTCCGTTGTACTTCTTTGTCCATTCCCGCTTGGTAAACTTCCAACATTTCGAGCAGTACCGCAACTCTTTCCCAATCCAACTGCGTAGTCTCACATACAGCGGACATGAAATGCACATGCAGTGTCTACACCCGGGAAGCCGGCACATTGGATGCTCTGGAGGGTATGCTCGGCAAGGTGACGACCAATGCTGGCAGATATGGCTATCCGACTGCACTCTAGGCATTGAATTGACGATGTACTCATGCCGGCGTTTCCGATGAGCATAGGGGTTTTGGGCCACACCGACTGGGAGTTTGTTGCCACACGCGCAAGATATGGCTTCCGGAGGTAGATTCTGGTCGTACAGCTGCAAGTGAGGCTTCTTTGGGATCAAGCGCAGCGTGAGGTACCGGAAATAGTGCGATGACAGTGAGAGGCAGACGAGGTCGTTCTGTTGGCAGTAGGATAGAGTCTCGAGTTGAATCTCGGCCGGCAGTTTGGCAAAGAGAGAAGCCGAAAACTGCGATATCGGCTGCGTCAGATCCAGGGCTGGCGATGCTGGGCCGGACATTGTCAACATGGCTGTTGTGGAAAAGATCTATGCAAGGTCTTTCTTTCTTCCTTTTCTGCTGAGATCTTGGTGCTGATCTTGAAGGAGAAGTAGTGGAATCGGACTTTGAGGGCATTGTTGGTATCACAGGGATCGCGATCAAGGTAGCCGCAATAGTATTAATTGACTATTAGTAGCTGGGTGAAGATAATGATTAAGGGAAAAAGAAGAGGTTGCTACTGTTGAAGCGCGTGCTTGGCAGCGATACCCTGTCTTGATCGATTGCTCTGTTGTGTGTGTATCTATCACTATGTTACGCGTCCATCGCCGATCGGCCCTTTGGTAAGGGGCAAATGCCCGGATCATTATTTTCCCTTGATTTGAGTGGAGAAATCCATCCGGGAAATAACTGGTGCATTTGCGGCCAATTGCCCTACAAGCGACCGTACATTTCTAGCTAATTAGCCCACTTTAACACGCCCTCTCAGATTAAGGCTATTTAGAGCTGTTAATCTGGCCTTTAATTAACAATATCTATAGTCGTAATCTATTATAACAGTTACTATAACTATAAATTACCTCTATTTACTTATTTAGTTACCTAGGTAACTAACTAAAACTAGAGTGCGTATAGTTAAGTAGTATTACCTACTACTTAATAACGTAATATAAGATAGTAACTTATATTAAAGCTCTTAGGTTTAATCCTAAGTAGAGGCAGAAAGACTTAATTATAGTAATATCTATAAAGCCTACTAACCTTATAATTAGTTAGTTATTAGATATCTACCTAGAGCTATAGATAGCGTAAAATATAGTAAATTACCTAGAGCTATAATAGTATAAAATATAGTAAAGGTAGGTATTAATTTACCTAGTAAGCTAATACCTTTATTCTATTAAATATAGATTACTAGGTGTAAGGTTTAATTACCTTAAAATTACTATTCTCTTTAAATATATCTACTAATATAGCTAGTCCCCTAGTAAATAGAGTTTTACTATTTTAGATTATATTATTTAACTTTTTCTAGTTAGCCTTTTAATAAATTTATAGCCCTAATTAAGGTAAATCTAACTATATAATTTATAACTATAGAATTCTTTTTATTATAGAGGTATTATAGTTTAAACTTTTTAGTATTTATTTATAGTATTCTTAATAATATTATAGAGGAAAGTGGCCCTACTTATCTAGTAAATACAGCCTTACGTGTTAACTATCTTAGTTATAACTATACCTACTAAAGCCTATTCCTCTATTATACCTAGCCTCTAATAGTATTATTAATTACCTTATTAATTACCTTTTATTAATTACTCTTTATTAATTACTCTTTATTAATTACTTTTCTTTATTATATAATTTAGCCTTATAGCTTTTTTATATCTATTTACTTTAGTTAAATAGTCCTAGTTATTAAATAAATAATTACTACTTTTACTATAGTAAGGCCTTTATTAATCTATCTGCTATTAACTTAGCTAATAGTATATAAATAACGTTAATTTATTCTTTAGTAATCTCTTACTATAGCTAATAATAGTAAATATTAATATACTATAGTTACGTCTGTAATTAAATAAGCTCCTTCTTAACTAATCTAATTATCTATTAGTTATTATATTAGATTATAATAAGTATATTAGTTAATTAATTTTAGATTATTAGTTCTTTAAGCAGTTAGTTAGTAAAGATTAACTCCTTAGCTACTTATAATAGTGCTAGTAATTTAGCCTTAGTTATTAATGTTATTATAGTCTATTACTTATTTACTTTCTATCTAATAAGGCTACTAAATATCTTAATTACGTACGCCTATAAGCTCTTATAGTTAATTAAATTATTAGTAAAGCTTATGTTAAAGGTAACTATTATTCCTTTATTAGATCTAAATTTAAGGTAAAGTCCCTTTATTTAGTAAAGGTTTTATAGTACGTAATTTACTACCCTCTAATATATAACTAATAGGTTCTAATTAAATTACACTAGCTAGCTAGTAGTAAATATAACGTCTAGCCTTATTATTACTACTGTATATAGGATTAAACTAACTTTACGTTAGTAATTAGTAATCTTAAAGGTTATAGTAGTCTGCTTTAATAGTAGTAGCTCTTTATTACCTATTAGCGTATAGTCTAGTAGTAGCTAGACTTTATTATTAATTAACTTTAAGATCTTATTAATATATATTACCTATAAAAGCTATATCTTATACTACTTATAGTTATAAATAACCTCTATACTAAGAAACTATTATATCTTATTACTACCCTCTAAGTAGTATTTTTCTTTTATTCTCTTTATTAAGTTATTTGCCTTACTTTAGGTAGACTTTAGGAACATAAAGACATAATTATTAATATAAAAAAAGAAGGTAATAGCGCCCTTTTACTAATAGTATAGCTTACTAGTAACTAGCGTAAATCTAAGATTATAAAGTCCCTTTTTAAGGTGCTTTTACTATAGTAGTAGTAATCTTTATAGACTATATAAGGCTTTTAATAGCTTAGTAATTCTTATACTACTATAATTTAGATACCCTAAGGGTAATTATATAAACACTATTTTATTTATATTAGTATATATAAATATATTTACTATATTAAATTAGATTAGCTTTAGATTAAACTTAGCTAATATTATAATAAGCACTCTAAATAATAATCTAGCTAATATTACTATATAGGTATTTTAGATTACATTTTTTACTTACTAGTCTCCTTATATAATAAGTCTTACTTTATACTTAATAAGGTATTTATACTTATTTAACTTATAGGTATATACTTATTAGTAATTAAGTATCTAGTTATTACTAGCCTTATTAATACTAACTTTATACTAAGTACTTATAATAAGAAATAACAGGTAGATCAGTAGGTTAACTGGATAGATAGGTAAATAGATAGGTAGAAAGATAGGTGTAGTTTTATTGTGCTTAGAAGGCATAGAGAGCTAGAATCCCTTAAGGGGATCTTATCTCTATATATAATTAACTAACTTCTATATTTCTAGTAATATATATATTAACCTTTATATTATATTATACTTATTATACTATTATATAGATTTGAAACCTTATATTGTTACAGCCTGTTTTAAGCTAGTTACAGCCTGTTACACTACTTGTTACAGCTTGTTACAGCATAATACGGTCTGTTTGATATCTAGTTTTATTTAAGTGGATATTTCTATTTTTTGTACCCTAGAGTAAATCTAGTTACTATTAATATATCTACTTTTTATACTTCTTAGAGATAAAGTACTAGAGAGTAAATCTCTATAGGTCTATATCTAGAAGTAAAGGTTATATTAGATATCTTGTATATATATATATATATAGTAGTGTTACTTTAAGGTTATAAATAAGGTTAAATTTAAGGTTAAATTTAAGGTTATAATTATATAAGCTTTTATATCTAAGTCTTATTACTTTATAACTTTATAAGTAATCTATTTTAGCCTAGTAAAACTTATCTATAAATAGGTAATATTATAAATTAGCGTGTGTATTAGGCAGACTAGGTAGATCCCTTATATAGATCTTACGCTTTACTAAATTAGTCCTATAAGGGCTTCCCTTCTGTATTATCTCTGCCTTATCTTTAGAGCCTTTAGAGGTTACCTTTTCTACTAATTAACCCTTTTGCCTAACGTCTTAAGGGGGCTAGCCTATAAGCCTATTAGGTAAGTTAATCTACCTTAAGGATATCTTTATGTTACTTTAATATTAAAGAGTGCTAGCTATAAAGGCAGCTTACTACACTTCTTATAGGTATATCCTTTTTTAGATAATATAGTTAGTGTAGTAAATCTTATTGCTTTTACTATTATTTTCCTGCCCTCTTGTGTTAAGAGTATTATTTAATTATATAAAGAAGGCTAATTATAGTAAATCTAGTAAAGTAATTAATATAAAGTGTAACTTTATATATTTATAAGTATTTATATCTTTAGTTATAAGGAAATTTACTAGCTAGCTTTTAGCCTTATTAATAGTAGTATTTATAGCTTCTTTACTATTAGTAATATCTATAGAACTTTACTATATTACCTTTATAATCTATTTATTAATAGTAGCCTTATTAGTGTTACTTAGCTTATTAACCTATTTATCTTCCTTACTTAAGAAATAACTATCTTTATTAAAGATTATATTACGTATTATAACTACTTTATTCTTTACTAGTATGTATATATAATATTAGTTAGTTAATATATATCTAATAAGGTAACTAATATATACTTTTACTTTAAATTATAGTAATTAGTTATAGTTAAGTTATATGTCTATAGTTATTATATATACCTAGTATCTAAATACTTATAGATAGCTAATATATAGTAGTAATAGTTACCCTCTTATAGTATATTATATCTTATATAATAATTACTATCTACACACCTCTAAAGGCATATAGTTATATAGATACACTACAGCCTTAAGGATCTCTAGCTATAAGTAGTGTAGCAGCTTAGATTAAAGCCTTATTACTATTACTTTCTCCTTAATTACTATAGTAATCCTCTTAGCACCGCCGTTCTGCGCCTGCGTGTTAGGTGCTAATAATTTAAATAGGATTCCTAGACTTTTTATAGCTTCTTTTACTTATAGATAGGACGTAGTAATCTTATTATTACACTTAATTACTATAACCTCTATAGCCTTATATACTTTAATTATCTTTATAAATTTAAGAAGTGTATACTTAATATTATTAAAGCTATATTATTAGAGGTAATAGTCCTATATAAATCCTAACTTATAGTTACTAAGCAGTAAGGCTAATTTAAATCTACTATAGCCTTACTTAAATAAGTAAAAATCTAATATAATCTTATTACCTACTACTATATATTTAATTAACTTTTATAGCTAGTAAGATATTTACTAATTAATCTTACTTATTATATATACTTTATACTAGTAAGTAAAGATCTTTAGTATATTACCTTTAATCCTTACTTCTCTAGCCTTACTAGTAATATAGTAAAGTATGTATAATCTAGGGTAGCTAAGCTAGTT